ATTTCTTTCAGAATGGATTTATATCCTAGCTAGAGCATTTGTGCGCATCACATATGCCACCAAAGAGAGGTGGTGGGAGAGAGGGACGCCAAGGTGGGAGGAGCAAAAAAGCGCGACAGCCACCATGAACCATGTTTGTCTTCAAAGTCACCCTTGAACGCTACATGGCTGCCCACGTGGCCATGTTTACGGACACCCACTGGGTCGTCATCTTACAGGAACCCTCTTATGAACCATGCCAAGAAGGGGTCTTTGGGCCTGTGGCACAGAGGTGGTCAATGCCACGACTCCAGAGGACGGAGTCGTGGCAACGGATCGGAATATAAACTGCTATCGCGGTGTTGTGTAGACACAGGCTCATTTCACGCACCTTGGAAGGCCAGAAGCCAATGTAGTTAGCTTCTCGTGTCATGTTATTATTTCCCAAGGATGTTGGCAAGTCTGGGTCTGAGTTCGAGTCTTTGGTACCACACTCTGAGTCCCAACGGTGAGCCGTGGCGCCCCAGGGCCTCGCCAAACCCAGTCAGGGATCCCGCAGAATCCTCAGAAGTATTTCTGTGGGATTTCAGGAAGTGCTCCTCATGCCAGGCTGGCCCCCTTCTCCACCCCCCTCATATTGGGGGAACCATGGCCCATGGCCAGTAAATCAAGGAAGTCAAAAAAGGTTTGGGAGTCACTAGGTTCCTTTCTGAACGCCGTAACACACAAGGACGAGTGACATCCTTAGCATTGCCGTGGGCGATAAAAATGTGTGGCTTCCCAAAAGCGACTGGACACTCTCCGTAATTCCGTCTAAACGTGTTGTGCAATTGAGGTTCGTTCCATTCTTCTTCAGAAAAACCCTCCAGTTTACGCATGTGGCTTACTATGTCTGTGGGGATGCTTCAAAAGGCCAGGAAATGGTCCTTGCAAGGGGGTGCCCATGTTGTCTGCAGTGGGGAAAAAATATCCAAGTTTTTCAATTCTGTCTGGCCTCACTACCCCATACAGGGACCCGCCCGGTCCCCCTCTCCTCCTTGCCCTCCTCCTGACCTGCCCTCCCTCTAAGCTGCCGGTTCACATCTTGAGCCTCGCTTATCTCTGCTCGGAGACCCGCACACGTCCTCTTCACCTTTCTTTCCATGGGGGTCCGTTTTCAGCTGTTGCTGAAATCGGAGCTCCGGCTTCACCTTCCACCTGTGAGCCTTCCGTGAGTTCAGCCTGCACCCAAAAGCAGCTGCGGGGAAGAAGGTGAGACGCCTTAGCCGAGGCAAAGAAGGCCCGGCTGCTGCTTTCCATGCCCCGTGGTGCTCGCAAAAGAGACAGGCCAAGCCAAACTGGAAGAACCTGTGACACGCACCCTTCCGTGGAGGAAAAAACCAGGGAGTTCCCAGGGAATAGCGACTCAGAATGTCAATCCGCACACTGCCGTTAGAACCCGTTGATACCGATTTAACATTTGTGGCTCCGATCCCAGCAAATCCGGGGATTTCTGGTTTGGTGGAGAACTTGAGCACCTTTCTCAGAACAAAAATGGAGAATTCCAAGTCCTTGTTTGGTCTCTCGCTGCGGAGCCGGAGGTTGTGGGTTCGATTCCCACCACGGTGCATCTCCAGAGAGAAGAGCCAGCCTGGGGGGCCTTGGGCCAGCTGTACAGGAGTCGCAGGGATCCCCTGCCAGAAGAAGAGAATGGGGAACCCCTTCTGAGTCTTCTCTACCGGGAAAACCCAGAAAAGGGCCACTGTAAGTCAGCAGGTGGTGATGTTTAAATATAACTCATGGGAGGCAATGGGCTATACCGGATAGATTCGATAGACAAGGACTCGGGTTCAAATCCTTACTCAGCTATGCATGCTTAGTGGCATTTGTAAAACCACATGTTAAACATCTGACATTCCTTAAGAACTTTATTAGGATCGCTGTCAATCAGAGGCAACAGAACATATATGTGGTTATGGGCCACCAACTCAGACCTGACCTATAGGGACCCAAACAAGGGTTTTTCAAGATAAGTGAGACATTTAAGGAGTGGGTTTTTTTGAGATAAGTGAGATATTTAAGGAGTGGTTTTACCAGTTCTGCTTACCCTCAATGAGCTTCCATGGTTGAGTAAAGATTTGAACCCAGGCCCCCTGAATCCTAGTTTGACACCTTGTCCACTACACCACCCTGGCAATCCACAATGTGTAAATAATGCATCAAAACAAGAACAGACTCCCTTCGACTCTACGCACAGTGTAATATTACAGATACTGTAAATGAAGCGCCGTTCCTGCGGTGTCTACCCCCAGCCAGCCCAGATGGGATTTTTAGCCCTAAAACCAACCGTTCTTAGAATCCTCTTCCGTTCTCTCTCTCCATGCGAATTAGTTTTTTAACACCCCTCCTCGGAAACACCTCCAAACTTTATTCGGAAGAAAACTTTGCTGAATCAAGCCAGCATCATGACGATTGCACCAGGCGAGCAAGCAGGAGAAGGGCCCACCAGCCAGGCTCCCACCCCGGCCCGTCGCTTGCTTCGAGTCAAAGGGTTCAAACGACCGACCGCAGTGACCGGTCGGCAGGCACAGCTCTTGACCCCGTTACCCTGTGCTAAGAACAGCTTCTTCTGCAGCCGCCTTCCCAAAAGCCAGAAAGCCCATCACAACGCCACCGGTTGAGTTCCTCAGAGAGGGCAGAGACCGACCAGCATCTTCCTGTTTGTGACGGTGTGGAAGATAAAGGGAGGTGATGCTTCTCAGGGTTATCAAGTTCCAACCCTTTAGCGCACCAGGTGAACTCAACAATCCCGTAACCCTGGCATCCCTCCGGCATCCATCCTTCGAATTGCCACCTGCCTCAGCCTTTTGAGCTTGACCCCTTTATCTTAAATCTCGGCTGCAAGACACAAGCAATCCCTATAATTGTCAGGAATTGGTCCTGTGGCTAGAACAGGAGGTTTGCTCTTCAGAAACCAGCAGAAGGTTATCAGGGCATGAAGGCCATCACCCCAGTGACACCTGCTCAGCCATGGAGGTCAAGCCCTCCTTAAAGAGACAGCCCCATAGCGGTGGCTTGCTTGGGGGGGCGAGCCTGCCCTCAGATACGATGCCAAAACAGGGCTTGCAAAATCCGAGGAGGTAATGAATACCCACCTATGTCCCCGTCTTTGAGCCAAAAAAAGGGGCATATCTTGATGCACTGAGAGATCCCCTCAAAAATAAAATAAAATGTAAGACACTTTACACCGCCAGGGAACCAAACATCAAAATAAAAGCCCGTTTCCATCGACGTTTGTGAGAAAATGTACGTTGCATGACAAGTATTCTGTTGTGGTTGCACACAAAATAAAACACATACTATGCAAAATGGGGGGTGTTTCCACAAAATAACACTTGGTTATTTGCCTCCCCGCCTGCCAAAAAAGCCACCAAGATTGATTGATTTCCGACCTTTCTATTCTGCCCAATTTAGTGGAAGCCAGGACTTTGAGAAATCCTTGAAATCATGTGTTAATCCTAATCCTTAACCCTACACCGTTCCGCCATAAATAAAAATAATCCCAAATCAATAAAATAAAACCCATCACACAAAATGACAGCGACAACCCTCCAAGGGTTGTGGAAAATGTGGGGGGGAAATGGACAATTATATTTTTCATTTTGGGTTTTTTTCCCATTCCTCAGAGTGACTCCCCCTCAGTTTCCCTTTAATATTTGTATACACGTTGTTCCTAGCTTTAATATTGCCATTTAAGGGCGCACACTGCCTTTTGATGCTCAGGGCTGTAAACTTTCAATGTTCGCTTTCAATGTTATAAAACAGCTCGAGTCCTTTTTCGAGGAGAAAGGTGGGGCAAAAAAATATATGGAATAAATAAATAATTGTTGCCAGCAAAGAGCACTCCCTCTGAAAGTAAAAAAAAACTCGTGTTTCCTTTTGGGAAGGAAGTAAAGCCAAGAGGCTTCATCCCCAAGTCAAAACATGGCAGAGCAGCCGAACACATTACGCTCCCTGTCCGAGATTCCCTCTTCCGCACAACGTAGAACGGTGGAAGAACCTCACCTTCTTGGGCTCACACAAGCCGCCGAGTAGATCCCAATTCATGGCGATCCTTTCCAGGGTTTTCTAGGTACTCAGAAGTGGTTTCCCATTCCCTTCTTTTGGGGGGGGGGGTTGCCCTGGGACTGTGGGTGCAGCTGGCCCAAGGCCACCCAGGCTGGCTCTTCTCTTCTCCAAGGAGGCACTGTGGGTGGGAATCGAACTCCCAACCTCCGGCTCCACAGCCCGGGGACCTAAAGCGTTGAGTTATCCGGCTACCTCTGCATCTTGTCACCCGTAAATCCCTCGTTTTTGCCATTAGGCGGAATTCCACGCCCGCTGATCAACCTTGCTTTAAAGACGTCCCGACACAAGAGGGGAAAGGGTGGTTAGGGCTCACGTTTATTTTTGCCTTCACAAACTCTCTTGACCAACCTCCCCTCAGGACTAAGGCTTTGCTTTAGAACAATCATAGAATCATAGAGTTGGAAGGGGGTCTGTAAGGTCATCTAGCCGAACCCCGCTGCTCAAGGCAGGAATCTCAGATCAAAGCAGATCTGACCGAGGGTCGTCCCGTTTTCCCTTGGATGCCTCCAGAGCCGAAACGCCCATTCCGCTTCCTGAGGTCTTGGGTTCCATCATCTTTCATAGCTCTGCAGATGAGAGAATATCAAAAGGGACACCATTGAATGACTCCTTCTGCCAGAGCCACTGGAACTCTCATGGACTTGACCATGGAGGCAACCCAGCAAAGAACTCTAAAGACCTGGCTTAACTACAAATCCCAGAATTCCTTAGGAGATAGAGCCGGCACAGTTAAAAGTGGTGCAAGCTGCACTCACTAGGCTGCCTTCCCCTTTGTTTGCTTGGCTGATTGACTCATTGAATATCCTCCTGCCTGCTTTTCTTCAGCTTTTGATTGGGCCAGAAGAGTGTCAATCTGGTGCACAGTTTTCTGTGCCCGCCTCCCTTGGGGATGTGGGAGCGATGCAAAAAAGCTGTAAATATTTAGTAGGAGCTGAACCGGCACACAGGTTTTGGGTGGCTCTCAGTATATATATTTATAGAGAGAGTGGTATATATACCTTTTTCTTCTGTGTTTACTCTTGAATCGTTTTGTATTTGTGCTAAGGAAAATCAACCTAGTTCTTTTGGCATCCAACAGACGTCGGAGATCACCTGCCGGTATGTTTTACGGGGTCGGATAAAGCAGCGGGCCCCAAGTATAACAGTCCAAACTTCCTCTGGTGGATGAGAAAAATATTTATATTGATAGTTTTCTAGGGCTGAAAGTGCATTAAGGTATTTTCTTTAGAGGTATTGAAATAGGCCTTCTCAGTGGCTGCTCCTTTAGACTCTGGAACTCCCTGCCACTGGAGGTGAGGCCGACCTCCATCTTGGTTGTTCTTCTGCAAACAGGGAAAGAGCTTTCTCTTCAGGCAAGCTTTCCCTGAATGACTGGGTGCCCAAGTAGGGTTTTTTTAAATGGATGGTTTTGCCTTTACTGCTTCGAATATGATTTTAGTCTTGCTTTTGTTTACCATGTTGCCGTGCGGTATTTGACTTTTCCTAGTTTTTGTGTACTTAATGCTTTCAGCTTTAAATATTGTCTTTTAATGAGGTAAGCGGCGCTGGGTCCTTTTTTAAAAGGAGAAAGCAGGGGTGAAAACATTGTAAATTAAGTAAAGCAAACAAATCGGTCACTATCATTGCAGGAGGTGGGTCTGACGCTCCCCCAAAGGGGAACAGCCACTGCCGGAGCTTCTTCAAAATTAAGATTGAACGCCATGACCTGGGGACTGAATTTCATAGAATCACTGAGTCGGAGGGGGTCCCTCAGAGGTCATCAGTCCCAACCCCCTGCTCTATGCGAGATAATCTTGGGCAGTTATTTTTTCTGCAAACCCCCCCCCCAAAAGGGATCCTTGAGAGAGATCTAAAAGGGATCTGCCCGGCGATGCCTGGGTTGTGTTTGCAGCTGACCCCCAGCCACTGCCTGAGCTTCTTCAAAATTAAGATTGAACACTGTGACTTGGGGACTGAATTTCATAGAATCACAAAGTCGGAGGGGGTTCCTCAGGGGTCATCTATCTCAACCCTCTGCTTTATGCTAGATAATCTTGGGCAGTTATTTTTCTGAAACCCTGCCAAAGGCTGCTCGAAATGGGGGGTCGGGTCTCTTGGTGTTTCCTGTTCTTTCTAAGGGCTAGAGATCTAAAAGGGATCTGCCCGGCGATGCCTGGGTTGTGTTTTGTTTGACTTTTTCCTTTCCCCCATCCTGCTAAAAACTTGGGACTTCCTTGGGACATTGGGCCGGGTTCCGGAACGAAACACCAAACTCACAAGGGTTTGTGTTGTGCTTCTGTTTTTTAAGCCCAAAGGCTGCTCAAAATGGGGGTCGGGGTCTATTGGTGTTTCCTGTTCTTTCTAAGGGCTATTAAATTCTCGACTCTCGTTTCTGGGAAATGCTTTCACCCTCATTTCGGAAGCTTTTTAGAGTTTGCCTCTGCCTTATGAAATCTGTGTGGGATAAAAGAACATTTGTTTGTAGAGCATCCCTAGGAGCGAGGCATTTTTATTTGCTGTTATTGATGCTTTCCAACCCACATTTTCTGTAAGGATTTCAAGACGATATGCCTCCTTTTTTCCTCTAGCTTCCAACTTTATTCCCTCGGTAACCTGTGAAAGACACTGGCAGCTTAGTGTAACTGTGTGACATATCCCAGTAGGTCTGGGTTTGTCACAATTACTTCTCAGCAGCCTAGTTATCACTATCACTAGGGTCACTCCTATGCTGGATTGGCAGTAGTCTTGCCCACAGGCCAGAAAGCTGCAGGGAAAAGACTCGGTGGTTCCTTCTAGTGGCCAGTTCTGATATTGCACCTTGGAAAGGTAGAAGACAGACGTCCTGTGCCATTTAGGATGGATAAGAGAATGCTATGATGCCTGGAAAATTCTTGCCAAAATATCTTAAAACGCCCCCTAAGTTACCTGTGTGTTGTTTATTATACCTAGATAGTTTTTTAAATGTGTTACATTGTTCCCTCTAAAAAGTAACACAATAACTACTAATTATATTGTTAACAAAAAGCAACTAGTTACATTTTGTTGTTGTTGCTCCTATGCTGATTTGCAGTAGTTTTGCCCACAGGCCAGAAAAGTGCAGGGGAAAGACTCAGTGGTTCCTTCTAATGGCCAGTTATGATATTGCACCTTGGAAATAGTTACAGAAAGGTAGAAGACAGATGTCCTGTGCCGTTTAGGATGGATAAGAGAATGCTATGATGCCTGGAAAATTCTTACCAAAATATCTTAAAACGCCCCCTAAGTTACCTGTGTGTTGTTTATTATACCTAGATAGTTTTTAAAATGTGTTACATTGTTCCCTCTAAAAAGTAACACAATAACTACTAATTATATTGTTAACAAAAAGCAACTAGTTACATTTTGTTGTTGTTTAATCGTTTAGTCATGTCTGACTCTTCGTGACCCAATGGACCAGAGCACGCCAAGCCCTCCTGTCTTCCACTGCCTCCCAGAGTTGGGTCAAATTCACGTTGGTCACTTCAATGACACTGTCCAGCCATCTCGTCCTCTGTTGTCCCCTTCTCCTCTTGCCTTCACACTTTCCTAACATCAGGGGCTTTTCCAGGGAGTCTTCTCTTCTCATGAGATGGCCGAGGTATTGGAGCCTCAGCTTCAGGATCTGTCCTTCCAGTGAGCACTCAGCGTTTATTTCCTTCAGAATAGATAAGTTTGTTCTTCTTGCAGTCCAGGGGACAGTCAAGAGTCTCCTCCATCACCACAATTCTTTGGTGCTCAGCTTTCTTTATGGTCCAGCTCTCACTTCCATACATCACTACTGGAAAAACCATACCTTTGACTATGCGGACCTTTGTCGGCAAGGTGATGTCTTTGCTTTTTAAGATGCTCTCAAGGTTTGTCATCGCTTTCCTTCCAAGAAGCAGGCGTCTTTTAATTTCGTGGTTGCTGTCTCCACCTGCAGTGATCACGGAGCCCAAGAAAGTAAAACCTGTAGTTACATTTTAGTTAGTTGTAATTAGTTACTTCAAAGGTCTGCCTCCAACTCATTTAAAACGGTAAACTTTACAATTTCAGACTTAGGAGTATCTTCCATTCTGTCGTTGTTCAGGTTCACCCGCCCCCTGGTTGCAGGGTTGCTCAACGTGATCTCTGGGACCTCAACGGCAACGTGGTAACGGTAGTCCTGGCACCCTGTCTGAAACTTAGGAGTATCTTCCATTCTGCCGTGGTTCAGGTTCACCCGCTTCCTGTTGCACGGTTGCTCAACGTGATCTGTTGGACCTCAACGGCAACGTGGTAACGGTAGTCCTGGCAAAAGCCCAGAGCCTTCAGAAGAGGGAGCCGTATCAGAGGTGAGTTTGCTTAGGGTGGGGAGGTATCGGTGTTTATTTATTCCTTCCACTCACTGGTAGATTTGCCGATAGATTTGGTGTAGCCTCCACTGCCCCCCTGCCCTAGATATGGCCCTGATAATTTTGCTCCATCAAAAGCCATCTGCCAGTTGAGTTCCTAAAATTAAGGATAACCTGTTACCTCTGGCTGGATAGCTCAATGGTTTAGGTCTCTGGCCATGTAGCCAGAGGTGGGGAGTTCAATTCCTCATGGTGCCTCCAGGGAGAAGAGGCTACCTATGTGTGGCCCTGGGCAAACTGCACAGTCCAAGTTGAGTTCCTAAAATTAAGGATAACCCGTCAGTCCCAGAACGTCCCCTGAAGGAGGGGATGGGAAACTGTTTCGGGGTGCAGTAGGGCCCCCATATCTGCAGGGGATCAGTTCCAAGTTCCCTGTACAGTAGATGCTGAAAAATGCAGATTATAGTGAACGCTACTATAATAGCCAATGCTATCCATATAGCATGGTCTATGCCTCCCTCTAGTGGCCAGTTCTGATAATGACATCATGGAAACATGATGCTATCCATATACTGTAGCATGGCCTATGGCTCCCACTAGTGGCCATTTCTGGTAACTTCATATTTAGAGATATCTATTTCTAGGATTTTTCTTTTAATATTTTCAGACTGTGGATAAGTGACTCAGCAGATACTGATCCCACAGAGAATATTCTCTACCTTGAAACCCTGAAAAGTGTTGCCATAAGTCAGTACTGACTCGATTGCACATTATTATTACCATTATTGTTATTAATCTCTGCTGTTGAGATGGTCTAAGCGCATGCTATCCTAGTTACACTCACTTTTATCTCTCATCCCGTCCTTTTATTTCTTTCCTGTGACTCTCAGCCTTGAATCTTGTGGTGTCGTATTCAGTTAGATGTTGCTTGGCGGTGCCTCGTTCTTGCTTCTATTTGAAAATGACTTGAAAAAAATCCAGTTTTTGACCTTTTTCTAAATGATCCCACGGGGACGTTGTGTTTTCCAGAGACCTGCCCCAAACGGGACAAGAGGCCATGGATAGAAAGGTGGAAGGTTCTCTCAACGGCCGTGGGCAAAACTATGAAATCCAGCCTAGCAAAAACCTGGAGGGTTGCGTCAGAGCCGTAGAGGAGAAGCTGGTGACTTTGGGCTTGGAGGAAGAAGCAGCTGAAGAAGGTGACGAATATGTGAACGTGTGCCAGAGCGGGTTGATGATCTACAGAGAACTGCACGACAAGCTTTTTGAGCATCAGAAGGAGGGCGTTGCCTTCCTCTACAGCCTCTACCGTCTGGGTCGGAGGGGCGGCATTCTGGCGGATGACATGGGTCTGGGCAAGACCATCCAGATCATTGCTTTTCTTTCAGGAATGTTTGATGCCGATCTCATTCAGTCGGTTCTGCTGATCATGCCCGTTACTCTGGTGAACAACTGGATGCAGGAGTTTCTCAAGTGGGCCCCGGGAATCCGGGTGAAGGTCTTCCACGGGACCAGCAAGAAAGAGCGCGGCCAAAATCTCGAGCGAGTCCAGAGGAAAAACGGGGTCTTGCTCACGTCGTATCAGATGGTCCTCGCCAACTGGGAGCAGCTCGGGAGATTGGACCAGCAGAGGTTCGTGTGGGACTACATCGTCCTGGACGAAGCCCATAAAATAAAAACACCGTCAGCAAAAACAACAAAATCTGTCTATGCCATCCCTGCTAAAAATCGCATCCTTCTTACGGGGACCCCCGTGCAGAATAACCTACGGGAGCTTTGGGCCCTCTTCGATTTTGCCTGTCAAGGAGCCTTGCTTGGCACGGCCAAAACTTTCCGGATGGAATACGAGAATCCCATCACGAAAGCACGAGAGAAGGACGCCACTCCAGGAGAGAAGGCTCTGGGGCTTAAGATCTCGGAGAACCTGATGAGTATCATACAGCCATATTTCTTGCGGCGAAGTAAAGATGAAATACTGAAGCTGAAATCCAAAAGAGCCAGTTGTCCACCTGGCATGGACAGAGGCTACGTTGCCCTTGAAATGCCTTCTCTTCCGAGAAAAAATGACTTAATCGTATGGGTTTACTTGGCGCCCATGCAGGAAGAGATCTACAGAAGCTTCCTCTCCTTGGATCATATTAAAGCGCTGTTGATGACAAACCGTTCTCCGTTGGCCGAGCTGACCGTGTTGAAGAAACTCTGTGATCACCCCAGGCTCTTATCGGCTCAAGCTTGCATCCAGCTTGGCTTGGAGGTTTCGGATTATTCCGAGCAGACCGAGGAGGGAGAAGGAACGGATTCGGACATGTTCCGAGAAATCAAGAAAGTCTCCTACAAGACTCTGATCGAGGAATCAGGAAAGCTAACATTCCTCATAGCGTTGCTGGAGAAGCTGCAGGAAGAAGGCCATCAGACGCTTGTGTTCTCCCAGTCGAGAAAAATGCTGGATATAATTGAGCACATCTTGACTCAACGGCGCTTTAAGCTGATGCGCATTGATGGGACGGTGACTTGTTTAGCAGAACGGGAGAGCAGGGTTGGAGATTTCCAGAAGGACAAAGGCTACTCGGTCTTTCTCCTCACGACTCAGGTCGGGGGCGTGGGACTCACGTTGACGGCAGCCACCCGCGTGGTGATCTTTGACCCCAGCTGGAACCCTGCTACGGATGCGCAAGCCGTAGACCGAGCATACCGGATTGGCCAAAAGGAGAACGTCGTGATCTACCGACTGATCACCTGCGGGACAGTAGAAGAGAAGATCTACAGGCGTCAAGTCTTCAAAGATTCGTTGATACGCCAAAGCACCGGAGACAAGAAAAACCCGTATCGGTACTTCACCAAGCAGGAATTAAGAGAGCTTTTCACGCTGGAGGAGACCAGGAGCTCAGCCACTCAAATCCAGCTCCAGTCTCTGCACGCCCGTCAGAGGAATTCTGATCCGCAGCTGGACGAACACATTGCGTATCTCCACACGTTGGAGATGTTCGGCATTTCCGACCACGACCTCATGTACACGTGCGAGACGGGTCACGAGGAACAAGCTGAAGATGAGGAGGCCCATCGGTACATCGAACACAGGGTTCAGAAGGCTCAAGAATTGGTCCAGCTAGAATCGCAGCTCACAAACGTCAAGTACCAGCAGCCTCGCTTCTCGTGAATCTCCGGTCTACTTCCCAACCAAGTTGCGTCCAACACAACGGAAAGCATTCACAAGCTCCATTCCAGGCACCGCAACGGCCATGTTGTCTTCTCAAGTCAGAGTTATTTATAATACCTGCCCGGCCCAAGATGGATGGGTGCAGTTTTCTCTCCGTCTCCTTCTCCAGTGACTCCTCTCCCAGTGGAGCTAAACTGATTTTTGTCCCACAACTCCTGTCTGGTAGTAACCAGCCGGTCGGTCTAGTAACCTCTAAGCCAGTGGTTCTTAACCTTGGGTTACTCAGATGTTTTTGAACTGCAACTCCCAGAAACCCCAGCGAGCAGAGCTGATGGTGAAGGCTTCTGGGAGTTGCAGTCCAAAAACATCTGAGTAGCAAAGGTTAAGAACCAGTGCTCTAAGTAACCACTTGCTTATGTGCTTCAAGGTCTAACGTCCCGAAATCGCCGCTGCTCGCCAAAAGAAATGACATTAGAAAAAAGACGTGTGGCGGACGCGGAATCCTGCCCCGAAAACCGTACTGGATGTGGGGGAAGATCTTACGCTAGACACACGACTAATCACGATGGTTTGATGTTTATCTTTCTCCATTTAGGGAGGAAGTCAACGGATGCAAACTCAGGAAGGAAGAAATAATTGCTCTCAGGAACTTCTGCCTCTTTTTCCTTACTTGATTAGAGAAAAAGTAAGCACTTGTCCGAAGTCAACATGTTTTTTTACTGTCCTTTCTTGTACTAGTAAAGTTTTTTTTCCTATTTAAAAAGCTCACATCCGCTCTCAGGGTTTTAATTTTTGATGTTGTTGGCACCTGGTTGTCTTAGAGAGAGAGAGAGAGGTTTTGCCAAGGGCATATGATCCAGTGTCTAATTTGGTCCTTCAAGATCCATGCACTCACAGAGGGTGATTGGGGTTGAATCCTGAAGACTCTAGACTAGTGGTTCCCAACCGGGATTCACCCAGATGTTCCTTGGACTGCAATTCCCAGAAGCCTTCACCACCAGCTGTGCTGGTCAGGATTTCTGCAGTCCAAAAATATCTGGCTGAATCCAGGTTGGGACCTCCTGCTGTAGAACCTCAACTATACCATTTCCTGATACGATATTGACAATTTTTTTTAAAATGCCCCATCTCATTAAAAAATAAATAAACCCACACACCCAGAAAGTAAATTTTATGGCAGCAGGGAGAAAAATCTTTCCTTGCTAGTTTTCTGCTTGCAGGGAAAGTTAAAGAAGAAGAAAATAAAGAAACGATTGCAGGGTGAAATATGAGGCCCCGCTTGTTGCCTGCAATTATAGAATCTCATTCCACTATATGCAAAAACCAAGGCACTTCTAACGGTTCCCAACCTAGGTTCACCCAGATGTTCTTGGACTGTAATTCCCAGAAGCCTTCACCACCAGCTGTGCTGCTCAGGATTTCTTGGAGTTGCAGTCCAAAAACATCTGGGTGAATCCAGGTTGGGACCTCCTGCTGTAGAACCTCAACTATACCATTTCCTAATACGATACTGACAATTTTTTAAAATGCTCCATCTCATTAAAAAAACCCACACACCCAGAATGTAAATTTTATGGCAGCAGGGACAAAAATCTTTCCTTGCTAGTTTTCTGCTTGCAGGGAAAGCTAAAGAAGAAGAAGAAAATAAAGAAACGATTGCAGGGTGGATTACGAGGCCCTGCTTGTTGCCTGCAATTATAGAGTCTCATTCCACTATATGCAAAAACCAAGGCAATTCCAACCTGTTTGAAAATTTCCAAGGCCTCTTTTGAGTCAGTGATCCTGAGTAGAGAAAAGAACCAGTGAGGTCCTAGTGGGTAGAGCACTGGGCTTATCACTCAGAGTTCAGATCCCCATTTGGGCGTGCAACTCACAGGACGAAGTTTGGCAGGCACCGTTTGTTATCCTGTCCTACCGCACAGGATTGTTGTGTGAATGGGGCAGAGATGTACTCCACCTTGAGGCCAATGCAGGAAGAGCAGGATACTACCCTGTTTCACCGAAAATAAGACCTATCCTGAAAATAAGCCCTAGTGTGATTTTTCAGGATGCTCGTCATATAAACCCTACCCCCAAAATAAGCCCTAGTTAAGTGAAATCCCCGCCCTCCACCCTTGCAAAAATGAATATAAGACCCTGTCTTATTTTGGGGGAAACACGGTATATATGAGGGAACCTGCCTGGCAACTGATGGCCAAACAAATGGGAAAATGACAACGTAGGAGAGCATCCATGTTGCTTTTGATTGGGGGGGCGGGGCGGCTCTCTCTGAATCTTTTCTGCGGGATGCAAACAATACACCCTCCTGTCCGTTTCCTCCCCCCCCATCTCCAGGCCCTTGACAGAAGAATCCATTTGATAACGAATTAGTTACCCAAGTTCTGTGTTTTGCTTTTTTATTTTTTATTTTTGGCCAGCGGCAAGGAACAATGGGCCAAGAGCACGCCAGGAAATTCTAATAAACGAGATGAAAGTCTCTCCAAGAGAGGCACGGGATTTGCAAATAATAAAACATTTCAGCATGAGAGTAAAGGGCATATGGCAAATGGGGAGGGCACAGGACCCCTGCCCCAGCCGGGCCGGCAGGAAGGAAAACACAGGGGAACCGTTTCGGAGCCAAAGCCGGCTAAAGAGTTACCCACAGGAGGAATAAAAAGGCAGAAAGGGAAAATTCCTTACTATTTCTCTAACACACACACACACACACACACACACACAGATAACACTGAATATTTTTTTAAATTCAATTCCTCTATCTGCCCAGCAGAACTGCTGAGATTCACAAGCAGAATAGCTTCAAGTTCCCTCCTTTGTAGACCACCCCCTTTTCTCATGGACTGGCACTTACAGTCTCAATAACTCGCTTTTTACCATTTGTAACTGAAAGAATAAAAACCATTTTCTTGACTTACCATTGCGAACACTTCAGACGGCAAATGGATAACGGACTTTCAACAATGGACGTTCCTCATGCTGTGCAGAGGAAGTGCGGGGGGAGGGATCCACAAAAGCAAAATAGCTTCCAATCTCCCCCCCCCAAAGGACTGCACCCCTTTTCTTAGGATCTGGCACTGACATTTTCAAGAACTCACTCCAAGACATTAGTAGGAGAAAAAAAAATTAAAACCCTTTCGTTTACTTACAGTTGAGCAGATCAAACAGCAAACTGACAAACATGACTGCTTTCAACTTCAACAGACTCTAGAGAGGGAAAGAGACACTGGGCAGAAAGGCGGGGCTCTCTGAACTCAGAGTCAGGGAAGGAATGACTGCTTAATGTGGGATAGATTGACCAGCACCCCAACCCAGAAACATCCCTCCCAACCATACTTACTAAAGCTAGCATGCGAGGTTGTAAAAACTCCAACAGAATCCTGGAGGATTCTGGGATTTGCATCCAAAAAGAGTAAAATGTCCCCAAGCTTTGATTTTCTTCCATATTTGTATATCTACCAGAGATGTTGTGTCTTGACAGCAGGAGTCGTTGGAATCAGACAAAGCCCCGACTTCCTCCCGTGTTGGGGTTGCATATGGGGGCCGACCAAAGGCTCGGGCATGCCTCGAGGGCAATAATGCCCCCTACCCATATTCCCCTGGAACTGTTATATAGAGGCACACTGTGGCCTCTGATAATGACAGAGATATGCAGCCATACTGCTGAGAATGGGAACTGTTGCAGATTCCAACCCCCGTGGACCCAGTTCTGTTGCCCCCATTAGAGGAGACCCAGTCAGTCCATGGGATTTCCATAAGTACGGGTTTACCGGCTGGCCATTGAAGCCTCTGGCGCGCCAGATGTTTTAGACTACAACTCCCATTGTTCTTTAGCACCGAGGGAGTCCAAGGCATCTAGGGGTGCTGAAGGTCCACCATCCCCGAACCTGCCTCTAATTCAAACAGGGGTGGGGGAGGTCTGGAACCATGGGTGTTTTCCTAGATGGTACTTTTTGAGTCATCGCCTGGTTTCAAATGCGGAACCTCCCCGTGTCTGGACAGCCCCTCGGCTCCTCGCTTGATCCCACGGGCCAGTCTTTTGAAATGAGTATTGCAAAGACGAGGAAGGTGGGAAAGATACAAAATGTCACGCTCAGCTAACAAAGGCAAGTGACGGTGGCTACCATATAAACACAGCCAAGCTGGGTATTATGAATATATGCCCCCCCCCCCCCGATTTCTGTGCACCACTAAGCTGCTGGATAATGAGTTCCTTGCTGAGAAAGTCTACAGAACCCCTCTGATCCCAAAAGTGGGATGTCCCTGGCTGGAGATGTTGTTGTTTAGTTGTTTAGTCGTGTCCGACTCTTCATGACCCCATGGACCAGAGCATGCCAGGCCCTCCTGTCTTCCACTGCCTCCCAAAGTTGGGTCAAATTCACGTTGGTCACTTCGATGACCCCGTCCAGCCATCTCGTCCTCTGTCGTCCTCTTTCTCCTCTTGTCGTCACACTTTCCCAACATTAGGGTCTTTTCCAGGGAATCTTCTCTTTTCATGAGATGGCCAAAGGATTGGAGCCTCAGCTTCAGGATCTGTCCTTCCAGGGAGCACTCAGGGTTGATTTCCTTCAGAATGGATAGGTTTGTTCTCCTTGCAGTCCAGGGGACTCTCAAGAGTCTCCTCCAGCGCCACAATTCAAAAGCATCAATTCTTTGGGGGTAACAGCCTTCTTTATGGTCTTCTTCCTTGATCTTTCTTCTTCTGCATGCCTGTAAATCAAGGTGATCAGGGTCTAACTCCATTTCTGAAGGGATTATGAGATCTTTTCCTTTCCGGCTGACCCTTAGGATCTAAACTTTACAACCACAGTCCTGACCTACGGATTTCCCCACTCACGGAGCTAATGAGTCCTTTTGGGAGTTACTCCCATTTCCAACCTTCTTGTGCTTTTCACATCGCTACCTCTCTCCCCCACTTACCAAAGCTGGCACATCTGTCTGGGCGGCTGTTCGTAAGGCTCAGCCGTGGCCGGCTACTTTAGTGGCACACCTCGGAAAGTTTTCTAAACGTTGGCTGTTCAAGAAAATTCTCGACACAAACTCTTGCCATCACTCTCCGCCCTCACTTTTTCCACCCATGGAAAGCAGCACCTTCCTGCTGGGCGTAGGGCTTAGAGGAAACATGGAGTGCGGCGTGTTTTGGGCGTGTAAAAACAAGTTAATGTTTTGAACAGGCTGATTGTGGACACCTATGACCCTCTGGTACAAACTCGGGAAATGTAATGCAGGTGTCTCTCTCTGTGAGCAATAATTCAACATCCCTTGATGCCAGTTGATTGACATTCGTCCCCCCTGTTATAGTAGTCACCCCA